TTATAAACGTTTCATTGACGTCTGCCCGATTATAAAAATATGTTGAAATGATACATAAATTATGTCACTCTGACAACACTAAAGCATTCTGTTGGCAGACCCAAATGTTATATTTGGGCTGGTTACGTTTGCAACATATTTTTAAGTGGTGGCCTCATGACACAGGATGTCATCGCTGCTGTTTATTGGTGTCTAGAAACTGAACTGAAACTAGAAACTGAAGGCAAATTACCAGGAGAAAGTGAGCTAAATATGATACACACAATTTTATATATCAAACTTATGCTGAAACATATTCCTAGTTCAAATTTGATTATCATTAAACAGTCTTGTTTGCTCAATCACAAAATAACCACAAGAACATAATTTAAAATAGTTTTCTTTTTTCATATTATGTTTTATAAGTGACATTTTACTGGCATATACATTTTGTCAGAGAGCTCTGTAATAATAACAAAATAATCAAGTTTTCGCTTTCAATGTAACTTCTATTGTGCTTTATTTATTTACTGAATAGTGTTGACTATTAATGATATACAGTATGTATCTGTTTTTATTTAACCTAATAATAATTGTGTTTTCATTTAAATCCTTTTAATTCTCTTTTTTTTTTTTTTACATTGTTTTGAAAGTATCCTCTTATTCTACTAGCACTTATGTTTATTATTTGATTTGTATTTTGTGCGTTTTATCCATAACTCAAGAGTAAATTTGTCAGTGTGAATTGTCAGGATGGTTATTTGTCATTTGTTCTGTAATGTCGTCAGTACAATATGATGTGTTTAAAAGATGATGGTTTGGATTGTGTGTGTGTGTGTGTGAGAGAGAACTTGCCCTGTTTGCACAGTGAAATCAGAGCAGGACCTCACAGAATATTTAGATAGCGCTTAAACAGATGGTTAACATGTTAGCTGTTCATCTCTGTTGATCTTAGAGCACTTCATCATGTGTCGTTCTGAGCTTGTCTCGTGAATGTTGCTGGGGTTCTTGGCTTTGGTGCAAAGATGGCTGTTTATACTGTTTTATCACCGTGTGATGTGGAGTGCAGAGTAGATGAAATCACAATAAACTCATCATCCAGAACACAGTGTGTGAGTCGGATAAATCTGAGGCTGCAGTAGCCAGTAGGCCGAGTGATGAATGAAGCCGCTTACTACACTCGTAGCGGTGGCTTTATTTTTATAATCTCTCTAAGGGGAATGTATTTTGGTGATAATCCATTGTCGGTGGCATTTTTAGAGCCAGTTTGGCTTTTCTTCCACTGGCACTATAAGAAATGATGCCTTTACAGACAGGTTGGGACTTGAGCTGTCCTCTGTGCATTGGATATCCATCCATCCATTCTCCAAAACACTCTGTATACAGTATATATATCAAAATATATGTATATATAGTAGATAGACAGATAAATGATATATAGATATGCATCCATTCCCCAGGCAATTAATCAAAAGATATAAATATAAAATAATAATGATATAAATATGATTAATTTCATATTCATTGTTATTAATTATGTATTCATATATATATGTATATATATATTCTGATAAGTTGTGAATGGATGGATATTTTAAATATATATTTTGACAACCTTTCTGTTCATTTGTAGTTATTGGATACAATCATTAAAAGGGCTGTCAAATTGATTAATCAATGAATCGCATCCAAAAAAATAATTGGTGTCTGCATAATATATGTGTGTGTACTGTGTATATTTATACGCATATGTGTATATTTAAGATATATATATATGTATATATATAAATATATGATTATTATTTATATTTATATATTGAGCAATTTGACAGCCCTAGTATGTGTGTGTGTATATATATATATATATATATATATTATTAGTATTATTAATTTACGTGACTTTTCTAGGCCTGAAAAAAAAAACATTAAAAATATTTGTCAAAATTTTAGTGACTGTTGGAGCTCTATATCTAATATTTGTAATAAATATTTCTTACAGTATGGTACCTAATAAAAACTTTCCATTTTGATCACCTATAAAATAAATCTGTTGCTCCTGAATGGTCCCAGGGACCATGTGCATGTAATCTACATACTAATTCTCAACAAATAAAGCCAAATATTATGCAATATGCTTACCAGGATCTTTAACTCCTAAGTAAATATAAGCATGTGGGTAAACACAGCCATTACACATTCTAATAACACACAGTATTATCATCACAGAACATGATTAAACGCTGTAGACTCTGGTGCTGCTGTGTGTGGATGTTTCAGCGGTGTGACATTGTGAAAGGACTCACAGTGGGTTCCTGGCGTTGACGCACATCTGCCAGGTGAAGGCTTGTGACAGACACCCTCCCTGCAACGCTGTGACCTCTGCAAGGGCCGCCCAATGATAGTGGCACCCAGGAGACCTCACGCTTGTAACCTGGAGTGATAATCTATGAAGCGCTAAAACAAAGCTGCATCGCATCAAGGTCAAGACACAGTGTGAGGAGCCGGAGTTGCTTGTTGGTCTCAACAAGCTCCTGTTCCTGAGAGAGTACAAACTGCAAAACAGCTTAATACTGAGCCATGAAAATATTCTGTATTATTACATCATATAAAATACATTGCGTTATGTACAATGCTACCAGTGGAATCCACACGAATTCACCAAGCTGCTCCCTCTAATGGAAAAATGCCAATAGTGTGGCGATTTATGAAGCATAGCGCACTCAGAAGTCGCTTTCAAACCAAGCAGCTTTCTGTTGCTCAACGCGACAAATTTGCATTGCTCATTTGAAATATTGCGAAATGGGTTTGGGAAAATCTTTTGTCCTCACATGAAATTCCCGATTTCATGGATTCTTAAAGGGGCCATATGATGCGATTTCAAGTTTTCCTTTCTCTTTGGAGTGTTACAAGCTGTTTGTACATAGATAAGATCCCTAAAGTTGCAAAAACTAAAGTCTCAAATCCAAAGAGATATTCTTTATAAAAGTTAAGACTCGTCCACGCCCTCCTAAAACGCCTCGTTCTAACACGCCCCCACATGTCTACGTCACTGTGTGGGAAGATTTGCATAACACCGCCCAAATGTCCACGCAAAGAAAGAAGGCGTAACTTTGATTCTCACTGTAGTTTTGTTTGTTGCCGCCGCCGCCATGTCGTGGAGATGCTGTGTTTCATTGTAAAAGCCAAACTACTAAAAAAGAGGACACAACTAGAAATCAGTGGTTAAGTTGTATTTACAACACTGTTCCAGAACAGTTCAAACCAAATATTCAGATGTGTGCAACGCATTTTACGGAGGACGAGGATTGTTTCCTGTGAGAGTAGCCTACAATGCCAGTGTTCCGGTGTACTCAGTTCCTGTTTCCCCTTCGGCGCGCATGCTGACCACAGTCTATGATGCTGACAAATAATGCTGACTCACAGCCTGTAAGTACGTTTTCATACTGGACATGACTGGACAGATGACAATGGTAAATATGACCACAGCTTTACACTGAAAAAATAAAATGACTTCTTCAAAGAAAATTCTAGGTTTTATACATTAAGCGTAATGGAGGAAATCTGTGGCATTTTGATTACCGTAAAAATGAATTTCAATTTCCTTTTTTCTTTTTTTTTTGTCTACACAAAAACAAGGGAGAGTTGAAATCAACACTGACATAAATTTTGTCGACTGAACTTAACGTATTGTTTTCCTTCAAGAGGTTATTTTATTCTTTCAGTCTTACAATGGAAGTAAATGGGGCCAGTTTGGAAACATTTAATACTCCCTGCTTCAGCAGTAGAAAGCTATATGTGTGTTTTAGTGTCAAAATCGCTTGCTATGTAAAGTTATATCTAATGTAAGTGCTTTAATAAAATTATAACCACACAATTATAAGCAAACCATACAATTATATATATTTTTATTCTTAGTCACTAAATCTTCCAAAATTGTCAGCATTTACTTCCATTATTTTAAGTGTATTATCATTATTTATTTATTTATTAATATGATTTTTTATTTTTTTTATAATTAACTGACAAATGCTACTTGAGATCAACTTGAATATTCCTTTAAATGGACAGTACCCTAAAATTTGAATTCAAAACTAAAATACTTAAAGGAACACTCCACTATTTTTGAAAATAGGCTCATTTTCCAACTCCCCTAGAGTTAAACAGTTTAGTTTTTCAGGCGCTGCGTAATATCATTGCGCCTGCTGCACCCATGGTACGGCAGCAAAGTTCCTTGATTATTACACCGGAATGAGAGTATAGTTCCTAGCCATATCGGCCTAGAAAATCGCAACTTTTCATTTTCCGTCGGTCTTAGTACACGATGTAACTACAGAAGAGTCAAGTTTTAAATAGGAAAAATATCTAAACTCTTTGGTCATTTTTGAGCGAGATGCTAACGGTCTAATCAGATTCAATTATCTATGCTAAGCTAAGCTAAAAGTGCTACCGCCAGACCCGGAGATCGGCTGAATGGATTCGAAAACGGTAAAACTCAACTGTTTAACTCTAGGGGAGTTGGAAAATGAGCCTATTTTCAAAAATAGTGGAGTGTTCCTTTAAGATGAGTTGCATGGACTAGTTTTAGTGTCATTTTTAGAGCATGATAGTGTAAATCACCACCTTCTTTCTGACCAAAGTAGCGGCTCAGACTTTCAGCGAAACATCTTTGTGTTCAACAGATTAAATAGAAGAAAGAAATGCAAGTTTGAAACATCAGAGGGAGATTTTTTTGGTGTGAACAGGTTGAAATTGCAATCTATATTTAAACGAACTGGTAATTGTATGCATTCATAATAATATAGATTGAACTAGAAAACAGAAGAATATAATATGGATCTGGACAGGTTGTCTGCTTTTTGCATACCAAGGCTAATCAGTCGTTCCTTTCAAATCAAGTTGCATTTAGTCATTTGTGCGTTATATGGTAAAATTGCTTGTAATTCAGTGTTGTTCACATTCAAATGGTTATGTTCCAAACCGCCAACAAAAAAGTAGTATAGGTGTGTATCTGTAAGCCACTTAAACGAACAAAAGCCTGTGTGATGATGCATTTCACAAACAGCAGATGAATAGTAGTGTTTATTCAAACGAGCACCATTCTGAATAAAACAAATTCATCATGTCCATGTGTCGAGGAGGCATAAAACTCTACCCTCATGCAAAGGTCACTGTAAAATGTAAAGGTATCTTTATTGCAGAGAAGATCAAATTCTTTTAAATGTTTGTCTTTTTATTCTCTGTATAATCTTATTATGTCTTATTGCACCCTCCCCTTTTATATTTTAGAATGTAACAATTCGTATCTCGTTTCCCTGGTTATTGTGTCGTGATCGTTTGGTTATGGTTGGCTTTCTTGCTGCATCAGAAGCATCCGTAAACATCATTTACAACAATAGGACCCTATGAGTTATCATATACATCACACGTCGATGTCACTTCATGTACCATTCTCCCTTAGAAAATCAAAACGTTTTAAAAACCGTATCGATAAAAAAACAACACCAGCAAGGAAATCGAATTTAAAAACGCAATAGTGTGCTAGATCATGAGAGAGTCTCGCCAATAGAAACTCCAGGAATGAATGGCGCCAATGTCCTACGCATTGTTCGTGTGCATTCCTGTCCGTTGAAAAAGTCGTTATGCAAAGAAAATCGCGATCATCCTGGCATTGTAACACTGTGTTTTGCAGGAAAAGGCGCTTGGAGCCTGAAATGCGTCTTTGTTTCTTTCTCCGACCTCATACGGTCGTGACCCGCATCACCACCTCGCGGTTGGTAGTGGCTCCGAGCCGCGTGTCGCTGGGCCGCAGCTGGCTGAGGATGTGGAGGATGGTGTAGCCGCAGTGGTGGTTGAGGATAGTCATTAACCTGCGCACTCGCCGGCCCCCCCTGCTGCCGCTGGCCAGGCCGTGCGGGTTGTTGCGTGCGCCGCGGCTGCCTGCCTTACTGCTGGAGCTCACCAGGTCTCCCAAGTCCTTCGACTTCTCGTAGTTCAATACTTTCCACTGCTGGTTTACAGCCTGCCATCGCTTGAAGATTCTATACACGGATGAGCCCTCGTGGATTATAAGGCCTGTGAGGAATTAGAGATTAGTGGATGTTACTGATTCATCCATAAACATATGGAAATTCACTAACACTTTTCAATAATCTTCAGTTTGTCAATGCACTAGGTATCATGAACTAACAACATTTAATCTAGGTTAATATTATTTTATAATATTATATATTACATAAATTAACATCAGTTCATACATTAAAAAACATCAAAGTTATTATTAGTATATTAATATTATAAATTGTCAATAATATATATAACATTTGTGAATTTGCTATATAAACATTTTTAAAACTAAAAAATAAATAAATATTTAATTGCTTTTTAAAATGTATTTTACATAAAAATGCTGTCGCATGAATTAACATCAGTAACATTTCATGTTCATGCATTATTAATGTACCTAAAATAGTAATAGTATATCTATCAATATATATCATTTTATAATTATATAAACATTTGAATAATATATACAAATATTTAATGTATTTAATTTATTATTTATTCATATTAATTACTATTAATAATTGATGTTCGTTCACAATATACTATATAGAATTTATATAAACCTTATTTTTTATGATATTTAAAATATTTAATTTGACATAATAGTAATATATTACACTAATTAACACCAGTGACAGTTCTTGTATTCTGAATAAGCATAAAGAAAAATATACATTTATAGTACATTAGTAAATTTATAATGTTAAAATGTATTAGCGTATGTAGAAATTAACATTAACCAAGACCAAAATATGCTTAAAAAGTATCATTCATTAATTCAGTATACCTAATATATTACCTGTTAACAAACCTTTTTGTAACGTTCCCATAATTTCCCTATAACAAATTTATACATATATCCATTCATATGTATATGCAAATGTTTGTGTATTAGGGTTGTTATGATTCAAAATTCTCATAGTTTGGTTTGAAATGCCAAAAGCCTATAGGAAATCAAAGACAGGTCCTAATCATGAAAAAAAAATGGATCCATGGTGTTTTGCTTCTCACCTATGCACACAATGTCCATGAAGCCGTACATGCCGTAGCAGATCTGGAAGAGCAGGTCCTGGCGCTGCCACTTGGCAGACGGGCTGAGAGAAGACCACACCAGCCACGAGATACTGGCGATGAGGAAGAGTGAGCCCAGGATAATGGCGGCGATCTGCACCTTCTCAATCACCGTCAGAGAAATCGCCTGCCACTGATACACACAGCATTAAAAAGATGAGATGGCATCTTCTTGCTTTGCTTGTAGAAGCCTATAAATAGAGACACTAGCCAGTGCTTCGTCCTGACCCAGATACTTCACAGTTTGAGGCTGACGCTTTACCTGCAGCGGGTTCTTGGTGCTGATGGCCAGGACTTGGTACTTGAAGTAGCAGAGCTCACAGCTCCAGGAGCCTCTCTCGCTGATCCAGCGAATCAGACAGGGCTGGTGGGTGCAGCGCACGGAGCCGTCACAGCGGCATGGGCTCAACAGCTCCCCCTGCAGACAGGGGAGAATTAAATCTGATGACCGACAGATCCAAGAATCAAAAATCAATGCTATTTACTGTCTTAATAAAAGTCCCAGGACAGGAAAAAGTCCCAGAAAATGGTTCATTTTCATTGACTTTCATCAAACATGATAACTTCCTCTGCCTCTGAAATGCCTCTTTTCTGCTCATGTCACCAAGGCTGTGGGGCAGGAAGAAATCATATTAACCAATAACACAGTCTAATAATTACAGTTAAATCCTGATCAATACAATCAAGTTTCACCCTAAATTGTTTCCAGCTTAATATTTGCTTTAACTTGGAAATGAGGAAGTGAAATTCGTGGGAGATGTTATTTGATGTTCTATTTAACCAGCGTTGCTATTGTTAACTAAATCTAAACATATGAAAAATGATTGGTAATTGAAATAAAACTGAAATAAGATAAAACATAAATATTAGTTGAAAAAAGTAAACTTTAATACTTAAATGAAAATGCGAAATAAATATGTTTTTGACAGACGTGATAACATCTGTCAAAATATATATATTTAAAATTATATATATATATATATATATATAATTTTTTATATATATATATACACCTTGCTACGTGTACTGCGTTAGGCTAACCGAGACTTGTCATTTGCACTTATATATTGTTGCTCTTTTGTTAGTTTTGACTGCTTTTATTGTCCTCATTTGTAAGTCGCTTTGGATAAAAGCGTCTGCTAAATGACTAAATAAATAAAAAATAAAATAAAATATTCTTTTAAATTTAAACAATAAAAGATGATAATAAAAATGACAAAGGAATATAGAAAAATGGCTAAAATTAAACAAAAATTAGAATGAAAACTAAAATAAAAGCTAATTCAAAATAATAAATATTATAATTCCAAACTTAACTAAAATAAGAATGAAAACTATAATAAAAGCTAATTCAAAATAATAAATACTATAATTCTAAACTTAACTAAAATAGGAATGAAAACTAAAATAAAAGCTAATTCAAAAGACAACGAATTTGTGACAGCGGAATGTAACATTTTTGACAAGCCAAACATGTCAGTCTCTAAGAAACATGTAGTTTATTTAAGCCACAAAATAAACTTCATTCTGTAAAATAAGTATAATGAACTACACAAAAAAAGCATTTAGAACGTCTAAAGCATATTTTATAATACCCAAAAAGCAAAGAGTTCAGCTCTCGCGCCAGTTATCACGTCTGTCAAAAACGTAGGCACGCTATCATTTGCAATATTACAACTAAAAACATCAACATAACACACTCATGGGCATCAATCACTTCACTGAATCCTTGCCATCAGCTAAGAAATAATTATCTTACAATCCATCTGTTTTCAAATCCCCATCCTTTGAATATCACAACTTCGATGTCTGTCAAAAAATAATGTGCACAATAAATAGTCGTATTTACGAGAAGCAGAGGCTACACGCATTTCCTGGAAAGCCCACATTACCGGATGTTTTCACTACAACATTGCTTTCTGAGAAGAAGGATAAAATGCGGCCTGAGTGGCTTCAACATGCTGTCTGTCAGAGACCGTAACGTACCTAATTCATAACACATGTGAGTTCTTCACCCACTGAAACTGACAGGTGATTTTACTTCTCAAAGCAATTATTACATTAATTCAGTTTCTATTATTTTCTTTCAGTGCTACCTAACAAAGATGTCGGCTCCAGTCTCAGATAATTACGTGAACAGGGATCCCAGCACACCTGCTGAAAGCCTCTATGGGCATCACAATCCTGTGACATCTGTCATCTGGAGCTGCCATTACAACTGCAGGGCCCTGGATAAGAGAACACACACCTCAATATCCAATCATGACTGGACGCTGCCACACACATAGTGTTGTGGTCGAGTTGATTTACGTAAATGAGATATTACTCATGAACCCATCCGCCATTACAAACGCTAAATCGATCAGGGACACAGCGGGCTTAATGCGGCTGCTGACATGAGCTTTGGACTCCAGACTTATGAGCGTGTGTAGAGGGACTGGAGGATCTGAAGTCTTTTAATGCAGTTAAAAGATGGGTGAGTTATTCTGTCCTCTGCTGCTCCAGACACTCAATCAATACACACCTCTGAAAGTCCTGTAGTGGGAGACGCGCTCTGCAGGTACAACACTCGCTCTCTGGGTGAACTGACGGGAAAACGCATTTGAGAAATGTCACTCGAAATGCGCCGGCTCTTGCATTCTGTCACTATGGTGCATTCTGTGGTTGCTAGGCTCTTGTCAACAAAAGAGATGCTTTAATGGCTCCTTTGGTTTTTCGCCAAAATAAAAGCTCAATGGTTTAATGTTTGAAAATTAATTAAAGAGATAGTGCACCCAAAAATGAACATTCTGTCATTATTTACTCACCCTCAAGCTGTTCCAAATCTGCATGAATCTCTTTCTTCAGACGAACACAAAAGAATATATTTTAAAGAATGTGAACAACCAACCAAAATATTTTAAAGAATGTGGGTAACTAAAGGTCCATTTTGGGTGAACTATCCCTTTAAGACAGCCATAAATATTAGTATTATAATTGTACTCTTGTTTTTAAATTATTATCATTATTGTTGTTGTTGTATTTTTCATGAATATTAATTTAAAATTTTATTTTTTATTTTACTGTACAATATTACAATAGTATTACATTGTTTAATATTTTATTTAATACTGCTACTGCTACTACTAATTATTATTACTATTATTATATAGTCATATTGATATATAATCCCAAAAGTTTGAGCCAAATGTGCAACCTTACAAACAAGCACAAAAACCTTATTTTTTTTACTAAAAATACCAAATCACAGATATTATCAAAAAAATTGCAAATAGATTTTTTCCCCAAATCTTCTCCAAATATTTTATTTTGTTTAAAATGTTAATTTAACAACAATAATAATAATAATGATGATAAAAATTTGTTGTTGTTGTTAGTAGTAGTAAATGAAAGTTTAAAAAAAATAATAATAATAATTCTTGTATAACTCTTGTAATATTTATAGTATGCACTCAAGGTTAGAGGTTTATTCAAATCCGTAGCACTAAGTATGAGCCTGCACCACTAATAACACTGCGTCCACCACAACAACTGACAGTGACTGTGCTAGATGTATTTAGCGAGAAACCATGAATCAACTAACATTACAGATGCAACGGCAGCATTTCCAGAGCTGCCAAGAGAACGTTCAATATATAGACTGTGAATAACAAGTCGAGTATAAAGAACAGGATGTCCAACTGGGGGACAGAGATACAGGACTGTAAGATTGATGTGATCTTTAGAGAAAGACTGCAAACAAAAGAAACACTGAATGACTTCTGAAGTACTCCTGTACTGCGGCATAAATAATTCCTTACATTTAAAGACAAAGAGAAACGAGCAAAGCAATCAATGGTCATTAATTGACTTTCAACATTTTAAAACTAAGAAAAGTTATTGAAAAGGAAATATTTAAGATTCTGTACTAGTTCTTGGTCACTAGTCACTACTTAAATAATTGTGACACTGTTCATTGTAACTCCTTTATACAAAAGGATTTTCTTGCTTCCATTAAGGCACTAGATTCTCTTTGGAAGATCTCGAATCATGCCGGAGAAGATGATCATCAGATTAAGACCATATAAGTGTTGCTGTCATTTAAATTCTTATACTGAACAGTTTTGCATCAAATTAAAGAATATAAAAGACGCATTTTCACCTTTGAAGCCCACTGTACTTGTCCTGTACATTTCCCGTCAAGTTGACATCACGAGTCTGTCCAATCTGATCAATGTGAGCGTTACGATAAGTGGACCTGGATGAGTCATACTGTGCTTTAAAGTACAGCCTGTCCTCCTCTTGTTGTTTCAGAGTATCTAGCTGTTATCCGAGATCCAAGGCCAGATTTAGTTTAGCCAAACTCAAACATCAGTAACAGAAGCTCTCTCCATCTTTACATCTGTAATTAGCACTCAAGTCATTCTCTGCACATAGTAATCATTGACAAAAAGCTTCGTTCTGTGTGTGAAAAGAGACAGCAGCATCATGGCAGATCACGCTTTGGCGCTAAAACGAAATATTTCAAAAAACCTCTAGCTTAATCTGATTAGAGCTCGTATCCAGAACGAGCACATCAAAACAAACCAGTTTTACATGTTCCATAAGCCCTGACAGATCAGAAAGCTGACTGATGAGGACTGATATCCCATCTCCCCCTTCAGCACGCCAGTCATATTTAAAGCAACGAGGACTATGATTCCTGGAGCTATATGTTTGCATTGTCATTCATCTATACACTGTAGCGTTGAAACGTGATTCATCATCATGCAGCCGCATTGTGAGTCAATCACATGAACCATAAATGGTTTATAAATCTAGATAATAAGCGACTAAATAGCAGTGTTGTTATAGTTGTTTAAAACTAAAACCATACATTTTTGTTACTTCAAAAAAACATTAACTGAAACAAAATAAAATAAAATATGAAAAAAAAAACGTGACATCATTATGCAGTCGGGTTGTGAGTCAATCGCTTGAGCCGTAAATGGTGACTAATCACTCTGGGGTGCGTTTCCCAAAAACAACTGTGGTCCATTGTTACCAATAGAGTTCAATGGAACCATAGTTAGCTAACAATGCTTTTGGGAAACACACCCCTGGATGACAAGCAACTAAAGAGTTATTACAGTTAACTAAAACTAAAACCATACATTTTTGTTACTTAAAATTAAACTAAATAATTACATTAAATTAAATATAAAAACCCTTAAACATATTTTATTTAGTTTTCTAACTAAAACTTAAATAATTATATGGATACATTTAAATAAAACAAAATAACTAGAACTGTAACTAAAATTTTAAATAAAAAACAGAAAATATAAAAACTAATTCAACATATTTGTAAAAACTGTAATAGTATCGCGATACTAAAACAACACTGCTAAATAGGTGTGACATCAAAGACAGGAAACAAATAATATTCAAAAATATAAT